AAAAACGGATTTAAATGAGCACTTACTTGTTCGGTGATACTTCGCCATCCCAGATCACTGGTACGATCGAACTCGTATGTCTCGCCTAACAGTGGATTGAACGGCTTATTAGTGCGGTTTCCAGTAGTTGAATAGTTGCTGACCGCATAGGCAGCAACGTATGCCATTTGTTCGAATGGCTCCTGAAAACGGGACATTTTTGAAACAAAGCCCAAAAAAAGACTAAAAGAAGATACCAAAGTAGAAGCCGTCTCTAGCAGTGACGCATATTCCAAATCTTCGGTAATCCTCTGCAGTACAGATAACGGTTCACTGAAGTTTACCTAAAGCAGCGGCCACCGAGTGAGATAAACAGTTCTCCTGACCTAGTTGCTCTAATACTCACTGGCATTGGGATTTTTGACAACTCTTTGCCGATGCAGTTTTTCATTATCGACCAGAGATTGATAGGAAGATCTGGGCGATCTGGGATAGTGGATCGCCGCTCGCGGCCGGCTCGGGCACGGTTTGTGACTGAGCGATTGGACGCAAATGATGAAGGCGCAGTTGCCATACTAGCAGCTGCACTTGGTGGCCCGTCATTCAACGTCGAAAACGGTTCTGAATCCGAATTTCGACCCGAATCATATCTTCTGCAAAAAAAAAACGTATACGATCAACGTTCAAAGACAAATGAGAGGTAAAACAAATACAGAAAGATATTTCACAAGAATGATTGGTTAAAAAAAGGCCTACAAATGTGATAGTGAGCTATGTTCTTCATTTAAAACAAAAAAAAATCATTGAAAGTGAAGGATTTTTGCTACGATAGGAAATTCAGAATATCAATTATGTTCCAATGTTCACATTGAATACTCAGAAATCACAAAAGGGCAAGTGAATTATCCAAATGTGATTCAAATGTTAACTTAGCGTATAAAGCTACTTCTTCTGGAAAGTTCTTCAACCGTCTTCAGTTACAAAAAATAATTAAAAAAGAAAAAGTGGACCATGTAAGCCTTTACAGAAGCATTTTTTAGAATTCAATGAACAAAAAAGCAAAAATTCGAAGTTTCCTAGAAAACCTGAAGAAAAACTTCGTAAATCTTTGCTTCGCAAAATGTCTTCAATTTTAATCATAAGAAGTTCAGGTAAATAAGATCAGTTAGCATTAGACAAAAAGTTTGAAGCTATGTTAAGCATGGGAACTTCTTAGTTCAATTACATGATGAAGAAGCGAAGCAAGCTTCATATAGAATTCCCCCTCATTACATTCATAATGGAATTACAGAGTACCCATTTTGTACTATTCCACCTGTCAATATTTGTACTTCAGGGGTCGAGTAACGTTTATTTCCCTGCATTCTTTCTAACTAACTCTCAAGCGATAAAGAAAACTTTTAAACTTGTACTCTTAGTAGACTTTGTTAACAGCTGGTTGTCAGAGTCGTTGTGATAAGACCTGTGTAAAAAAAGTGCTTAAAAGCTTTCAGCAGTAAAAAGTTTTAAAAAGACCTTTTTAAAAGTGCTTTAAGAATTTTTGCCAGCTTTCTTAAAATCAGTGTAATAAATGAACGTCATAAAGTCACTTTACGCGGGCGCCGCTGGAAGCAATTAACAACTTCTTACTCCTTTTTCGTAATAATAACTGGCAAAATTACTTGACAAATTTTCAATCTGAAGTTAAATGCGATAGTATAACATTAAAAATCAATACATAACTTGGAATTGTTTAGCAAGCAGACACAAACATCATTTTTTCAAGAATCAATTGTTGACTGAGCACCTATGCACAGCGGATGCTCATTAGGTTCATTCATCCAAAAACAAACAAATGTTATGTAACATGATGCTTGGTCGCTACAAAATTAAGTGAGATAATGAATTGATGAAACTCCAAGTTAAATTCTCTATGGATTTCGGCATAATAATCTGAACTTCCAACTCTGATGGAGGCAAAAAACGAAGGATATTAGCCAATAAAGAATTTTACTTTGTTTGATGAGGTTAGAGAAACAACTGTATATTGTTAACTTTCACGAGTTCTTTGAGGATGAAACACGAGATTTATGCCAAAAAGAGAAAAAGGCGCGATCGCTGCCCCATAAGATTCATGTCATATATGCTAGGGTCAGGCGAGATGTGTGAAGTCACCAGGAAACAAGTGAATAGATTCAGGTTTATAAGGATAAGCAAGAATGCAGAGATTCTCTATGAAGCGAGGTAAGAAATTACGTAATTATAAAAAAAATTATTAGATGTAATAGTCAGCAAACATTCACTAAGTGGAATATTGAACAAAGAAATAAAAATACGTAGTTAGGTAAGCCTTATTGAAACAAAGACTGCATGTAAGCAGATAACAGTAAACCCAACATGGTTCAATCCTTGACCAACTTACAATATCTGCATTTACAAAAACTAACGAGAGTTTTCGCACTTGATTGATTTTTTGGGAAAGTGGCAAGAGTTACATGTGCTGACTTTCATAAACCTTCAAAACTGGTTTGTATATTCTGACGGTCACAATCTATTCCTGAACCACCAAAAAAA